GCCAGGCACCTGGACTTCCAGTATATTTTCCTGGACTTCCTGTATGTTTTCCTGGACTTCCTGTATGTTTTCCTGGACTTCCTGTATGTTTTCCTGGACTTCCTGTATGTTTTCCTGGACTTCCTGTATGTTTTCCTGTACTTCCTGTATGTTTTCCTGGAGACGTTTCGCTGGCCAACCGACTGGTTTTTTCAATTCAGAACTCAGAAAGCTGGTGGGATGACCAGCAAAATGTCTTCAGGAAAACATACAGGAAGTCCAGGAAAACATACAGGAAGTCCAGTAAAACATACAGGAAGTCCAGGAAAACATACAGGAAGTCCAGGAAAACATACAGGAAGTACAGGAAAACATACCGGAAGTACAGGAAAACATACCGGAAGTCCAGGAAAACATACAGGAAGTCCAGGAAAACATACAGGAAGTCCAGGAAAACATACAGGAAATCCAGGTGCCTGGTTTTCTGAAATGTTGGAATCATTGGTGGGCACAGGTCACATGGTCTGCTGCAGTGCATGATGGGGGAAGTCCTCAGACAGTGAGATGGGAATGCAGATTTGAGGTTCTGACGGCGTCTTTCCTCTCAGCCAAAGATCACACGCGGAAGAACCGGCAGAGCCGAATATTCATGGTGGAGAACGTGATTGGAGAGTTATGGTCGGAGCTGGAGGAAGGTAAAATCATCGCTCACCTCTGACCCTGAGGTCACCCCTGACCCTGAGGTCACCTCTGACCCTGAGGTCACCTCTGACCTTGACCCTGAGGTCACCCCTGACACTGAGGTCACCTCTGACCCTGACGTCACATCTGACCCTGAGGTCACCTCTGACCCTGACCCTGAGGTCACCTCTGACCCTGACACTGAGGTCACCTCTGACACTGAGGTCACCTCTGTCCCTGACACTGAGGTCACCTCTGACCCTGACACTGAGGTCACCTCTGACCCTGACACTGAGGTCACCTCTGTCCCTGACACTGAGGTCACCTCTGACACTGAGGTCACCCCTGACAAACCCTTCCCAGGAACAGAGAATGTGTGTATAGTTCAGCTACATCTTGTCCATTCCTCCTCCTCTGAGGTCTGGGGCCCCGGGGCCCCTCAGGGCTCATAATGGGGTTTCATCTCACACAATGGACACAGAACATTCTTCATTCTAATGCTGGGGTCTCAAACCTCCGGCCCCTCCAGCTGGGGGATGGAACTACAAATCCCATGAGGCATTGCAAGATTCTCACAGCCACAGACATGACTCCCGGAGAGAGATGCATCATGGGATTTGTAGTTCCAGCTGGATGGTTAGTTCTGTGTCCATTGTGTGAGATGAAACCCCATTATCAGCCCTGAGGGGCCCGGGGCCCGAGACCTCGGAGGAGGAGGAACGTGGATGTGGACTTCTAGTGTGTTTATGTATTGTGAGGATGCCGGGGAGCAGCACCCCCATCATTGGTGATCAGAGTCGGATGGGGGAGGGGGATCTATAATATACGACGTCTCTGTGATTTGCCTCCCGCAGGGGACAAGTATGTTGTGGTGGATTGTGGGGGAGGAACCGTGGACCTGACCGTGCACCAGATCCGGCTCCCGGAGGGCCACCTGAAGGAGCTCTACAAAGCATCAGGTACCGGGGGCGGGGCATAGAGGTACCGGGGGTGTGGCATATAGGTACCGGGGGCGGGGCATAGAGGGTTCCGTCATGTCCATCCTTTCCCTTCTTCCCTCAAGATCTATATAGAGGGATCAGGACCTCCTTCCCCCTGCTGGGGACCCCTCTAGTGATAGATCTATATAGAGGGATCAGGACCTCCTTCCTCCTGCTGGGGACCCCTCTAGTGATAGATCTATATAGAGGGATCAGGACCTCCTTCCTCCTGCTGGGGACCCCTCTAGTGATAGATCTATATAGAGGGATCAGGACCTCCTTCCTCCTGCTGGGGACCCCTCTAGTGATAGATCTATATAGAGGGATCAGGACCTCCTTCCTCCTGCTGGGGACCCCTCTAGTGATAGATCTATATAGAGGGATCAGGACCTCCTTCCTCCTGCTGGGGACCCCTCTAGTGATAGATCTATATAGAGGGATCAGGACCTCCTTCCTCCTGCTGGGGACCCCTCTAGTGATAGATCTATATAGAGGGATCAGGACCTCCTTCCTCCTGCTGGGGACCCCTCTAGTGATAGATCTATATAGAGGGATCAGGACCTCCTTCCTCCTGCTGGGGACCCCTCTAGTGATAGATCTATATAGAGGGATCAGGACCTCCTTCCTCCTGCTGGGGACCCCTCTAGTGATAGATCTATATAGAGGGATCAGGACCTCCTTCCTCCTGCTGGGGACCCCTCTAGTGATAGATCTATATAGAGGGATCAGGACCTCCTTCCTCCTGCTGGGGACCCCTCTAGTGATAGATCTATATAGAGGGATCAGGACCTCCTTCCTCCTGCTGGGGACCCCTCTAGTGATAGATCTATATAGAGGGATCAGGACCTCCTTCCTCCTGCTGGGGACCCCTCTAGTGATAGATCTATATAGAGGGATCAGGACCTCCTTCCTCCTGCTGGGGACCCCTCTAGTGATAGATCTATATAGAGGGATCAGGACCTCCTTCCTCCTGCTGGGGACCCCTCTAGTGATAGATCTATATAGAGGGATCAGGACCTCCTTCCTCCTGCTGGGGACCCCTCTAGTGATAGATCTATATAGAGGGATCAGGACCTCCTTCCTCCTGCTGGGGACCCCTCTAGTGATAGATCTATATAGAGGGATCAGGACCTCCTTCCTCCTGCTGGGGACCCCTCTAGTGATAGATCTATATAGAGGGATCAGGACCTCCTTCCTCCTGCTGGGGACCCCTCTAGTGATAGATCTATATAGAGGGATCAGGACCTCCTTCCTCCTGCTGGGGACCCCTCTAGTGATAGATCTATATAGAGGGATCAGGACCTCCTTCCTCCTGCTGGGGACCCCTCTAGTGATAGATCTATATAGAGGGATCAGGACCTCCTTCCTCCTGCTGGGGACCCCTCTAGTGATAGATCTATATAGAGGGATCAGGACCTCCTTCCTCCTGCTGGGGACCCCTCTAGTGATAGATCTATATAGAGGGATCAGGACCTCCTTCCTCCTGCTGGGGACCCCTCTAGTGATAGATCTATATAGAGGGATCAGGACCTCCTTCCTCCTGCTGGGGACCCCTCTAGTGATAGATCTATATAGAGGGATCAGGACCTCCTTCCTCCTGCTGGGGACCCCTCTAGTGATAGATCTATATAGAGGGATCAGGACCTCCTTCCTCCTGCTGGGGACCCCTCTAGTGATAGATCTATATAGAGGGATCAGGACCTCCTTCCTCCTGCTGGGGACCCCTCTAGTGATAGATCTATATAGAGGGATCAGGACCTCCTTCCTCCTGCTGGGGACCCCTCTAGTGATAGATCTATATAGAGGGATCAGGACCTCCTTCCTCCTGCTGGGGACCCCTCTAGTGATAGATCTATATAGAGGGATCAGGACCTCCTTCCTCCTGCTGGGGACCCCTCTAGTGATAGATCTATATAGAGGGATCAGGACCTCCTTCCTCCTGCTGGGGACCCCTCTAGTGATAGATCTATATAGAGGGATCAGGACCTCCTTCCTCCTGCTGGGGACCCCTCTAGTGATAGATCTATATAGAGGGATCAGGACCTCCTTCCTCCTGCTGGGGACCCCTCTAGTGATAGATCTATATAGAGGGATCAGGACCTCCTTCCTCCTGCTGGGGACCCCTCTAGTGATAGATCTATATAGAGGGATCAGGACCTCCTGCTGGGGCCCATAGGATGGATAGGCTGGTCTGGGAGGGATTTCCCCGGATAGCCGGCACCATGGTTGTGAGGTAACGGCGGTTCTTGTGCCTCAGGTGGGCCGTACGGGTCTCTGGGCGTGGACTTGGAGTTTGAGAAGCTTCTCTGTAAGATATTTGGGGAGGATTTCATCGATCAGTTTAAGGTGAAGCGGCCGGCCGCCTGGGTGGATCTGATGATCGCCTTCGAGTCGCGTAAAAGAGCCGCCGCGCCGGACCGGACCAACCCGCTGAATATCACCTTACCCTTCTCCTTCATCGATTACTACAAGAAGTTCCGGGGCCACAGCGTGGAGCACGCGCTGCGCAAGAGCAAGTGAGTCCCCCGTCCCCGCATGCTGACATGTGAGAGGCCGAGACTCAGAGTGAACGGGCTGCATGTAATCTGAGGATTCTCCCGTGAGTGGCGGCCATGTTCCTTGGGGTTTCAGCGCAGTGTAGCACGCATGGCGTGTGCATGGTGGCGTGTTGTCGCTGTGCGTTGGGTGACAGTATATTGAGAGACCAGGAAGAGGCGCTACAGACCAGGGTGGTGCCATTCACAGGCGGGGGAGGGGGTGCGGCACATTATATATATTATCGCCATCCCTTCCCCTCCCCCATCATCAGTCAGGGTGTGATGACAACATTCCGCGCTGACGCCTCTTCTCCCCGCAGTGTGGATTTCGTCAAGTGGTCCTCGCAGGGAATGCTGAGAATGAACCCGGACGCTATGAACGCGCTCTTCAAACCCACCATGGACCACATCATAGAACACTTGTGTAAGTCCGGGCCCGTGTGGGGAGGGGCTAGTCTTCCGCTTATGTGTCTTTTGGGGGTCGGGTTTTGGGTCAGGGCTCGGGTTTTTGGTTCCGGGGGTCATGTTTTGGTTCGGGGGTCAGGTTTTGGTTCAGGGGTCGGGTTTTTGGTTCCGGGGGTCAGGTTTTGGTTATGGGGTCTGGTTTTTGGTTCCGGGGTCGGGTTTTGGTTGGTGGGAGGAGCCAGTGCTCTGAAGGGGGAAGGTTCACTGTTCTGAAGGGGTAGGAGTACTGAAGGGGGAGGAGTCACTGGTCTAGAGGAGAGAGTCACACCTCCGAAGGCATCACTGTTCTATAGGGGGAGGAGACACTGGTCTAGAAGGAGGAGTCACTGCTTTGAAGGGGAGGAGTCTTGGGGAATAATTTATAACTAAAAATATATATTTTTTAATTTTTTGTTGTATTTTTAGTCTTATATATGGAATGAGGTGAATCAGCACCCCGGGGGAGGGGGACCCTGATTTTTTTTGGGGGGGGGACCCCCTCAAAGCACACTCCGCAAGCATTGGTACAAGCATAGCCGGGGGTCACACACTTGTTTCTGATTGGCTACGGGTATGCTACGCTGCTGGTGGGCCGGTCAGCTGTGGGCGGGGCTTGTCTCATTCGAAAGAAGTTCTGAATCTTCAATACATGTCCATTTCTGTCATAGAGGAAAACATTCACCCGCTTCAATCCAGGGAGCAGAGTATTGTGCACGGTGAATCATGGGTGAATCATGGGTGAAGAATGGGTGAAGAATCAGTGAATAATGGGTAAATCGTGGGTGAATCATAGGTGAAGAATGGGTGTATAATGGGTGAATCATGGTTAAATAATGGGTGAATCATGGGTGAATCATGGGTGAAGAATGGGCGAATCATGGGTGTATAATAGGTGACGAATAGGTGAGCAATTGGTGAATAATGGGTGAATAATGGGTGTAGAATGGGTGAATCATGGGTGAATCTCCAGGAAGTGATGATGGCGGGAGGATACATTGAAGGATTGTCTTAAATAATGGGTGTATAATGGGTGAACAATGGGTGAATGGGTGAATAACAGGTAAATAATGGGTGAATCATGGGTGAATAATAGGTGCATCATTGTTGAATCATGGGTGTATAATGGGTGAATAATGGGTGTATAATCCTCATCCGTCACCGCGCGCCGCTCCACGTCCTCATCTATCGCCGCGCGCCACGCCCTTCAATACATGTCCATTTCTGTCATAGAGGAAAACATTCACCCGCTTCAATCCAGGGAGCAGAGTATTGTGCACGGTGAACAATGGGTGAATAATGGGTGAAGAATAGGTGAATCATGGGTGAATCTCCAGGAAGTGATGATGGGAGTATACATTGAAGGATTGTCTTAAATAATAATGGGTGTATAATGGGTGAATCATGGGTGAATAATAGGTGAATACTGGGTAAATCATGGGTGTATAATGGGTAAATAATATTTGAGTAATGGGTGTTTAATGGGTGAACAATGAGTGAATCATGGGTGAATAATGGGTGTATAGTTGGTGAATAATGGGTGTATAATGGGTGAATCATGGGTGAACAATATTTGAGTAATGGGTGAATAATGGGTGAATCATGGTTGAATAATGGGTGTATAATGGGTGAACAATGGGTGAATCATGGGTGTATAGTTGGTGAAGAATGGGTGAATCATGGGTGTATAATGGGTGTATAGTTGGTGAATAATGGGTGTATAATGGGTGAATCATGGGTGAACAATAGGTGAATCATGGGTGAACAATAGGTGAATAATGGGTGAACAATATTTGAGTAATGGGTGAACAATGGGTGAATCATGGTTGAATAATGGGTGAACAATAGGTGAATAATGGGTGATTCATGGGTGAACAATATTTGAGTAATGGGTGTATAATGGGTGAATCATGGGTGAACAATATTTGAGTAATGGGTGAATCATGGGTGAACAATAGGTGAATAATGGGTGAATCATGGGTGAACAATATTTGAGTAATGGGTGTATAATGGGTGAATAATGGGTGAATCATGGTTGAATCATGGTTGAATCATGGGTGTATAGTTGGTGTATAATGGGTGAAGAATGGGTGTATAATGGGTGAATCATGGGTGTATAGTTGGTGTATAATGGGTGAACAATGAGTGAATAATGGGTGTATAATGGGTGTATAGTTGGTGAATAATGGGTGTATAATGGGTGTATAGTTGGTGTATAATGGGTGAATAATGGGTGAAGAATGGGTGAATAATGGGTGTATAATGGGTGAATCATGGGTGAATCTCCAGGAAGTGACGATGGCGGGAGGATACATTGAAGGATTGTCTTTTCTCTTCCAGCCAACCTCTTCCAGAAGCCGGAGGTCAGCGGGGTGAAGTTCCTCTTCCTGGTTGGCGGTTTTGCCGAGTCTCCGTTGCTCCAGCTGGCGGTGCAGCAAGCGTTCAGCAGTCAGTGCCGCGTCATCATCCCCCATGATGTGGGTCTGACCATCTTGAAGGGGGCGGTCCTCTTCGGCCTGGATCCCGCCGTCATCAAGGTGCGCCGCTCTCCCATGACGTACGGCGTCGGGGTCCTGAACCGCTACGTGGAGGGGAAGCACCCGGCGGAGAAGCTGCTGCTGAAGGACGGCACGCGCTGGTGCACAGACGTGTTGGATAAATTCATTCTAACCGACCAATCGGTGGCTCTGGGCGAGACGGTGAAACGCAGCTACACGCCGGCCAAACCTTCCCAACTCATCATCATCATCAACATCTACTGCTCGGAGCGCGAGGACGTCGGCTTCATCACCGACCCCGGCGTACGCAAGTGCGGCACCCTGAAGCTTGACCTGACCGGGGCGGACGCCACGCCGCTCCCCACCCGCAGGGAGATCCAGACCATCCTGCAGTTTGGGGACACTGAGATCAAAGCCTCCGCGCTGGACACCAGCACCTCCAAATGCGTCAAAGTCAGCATAGACTTCCTAAACTAGGACTCCGCCCCTTTCCCCTCCCCCAAATTCCCAGCTCTCCAGTATCCTGACCATCCCGGGGCCCCGTTATATCACGCAGCTAACGTGTGGGGGATTAGCGCCATCCACTCCCCTCCAGCACCTGCTGGGAGTTGTAGTTCCTCTCACAGGTGGTGCACTCCTCCAACCAGCAAACATGTAGAGGAGGCGGAGCCAATGTGTGTCTTATATGCTGCCCGCCGTCCTCTGACCCTCAGGCCCACGCGTGTCATACCTGCGAGGATCAACATACAAGAGCTGTCAGGGGTGTGCATGCCGATTCTTCATCATGCAGGTCAGTGAAGATGATGGTGATCCCGGTTTTTAGTCCCCGGCAGCTCTCGTATTGGTCCTCGCAGGTTTCCTATCCGGCCCCTCCGCGTGTCTCCACGGTGCAATAATCCGGGACAGGAAGGACGCATGCGCACCCCCATCCTTCATCCTCATCCGTCACCGCGCGGCTCCACGTCCTCATCCGTCACCGCGCGGCTCCACGTCCTCCTCCGTCACCGCGCGGCTCCACGTCCTCCTCCGTCACCGCGCGGCTCCACGTCCTCCTCCGTCACCGCGCGGCTCCACGTCCTCCTCCGTCACCGCGCGGCTCCACGTCCTCCTCCGTCACCGCGCGGCTCCACGTCCTCCTCC